GACCCCGCCGCGCCCCGCCTGCCCGAGGAGCGAGTTGCACATCAGTGCCGCCTCGGCTGGCAACCTCACACTGCCCGATCCGGCTCGAGTTGACGTAAGAGTGACCTTTCGCCGGAGTGATTTTTGGTGCGGGCCCAATGGGGTCCCCCGACCGTTGAGCGCGAAGCGGTAGCAGCGGCTTGCGCGCCCAGGTTTGGCCAGCCCGCGTCTCGCGTGTAGCCGGGCACTAAAGGGTCCCTGCTGTCTAGTGTCACTCTTGCGTGTAGCCGACAGGGAGGACTCAAGTCGTGATGCTCCGCGATGTTGCCACTTGTCTGCCACGTCGCATCTCAGGGGTCGAGGAGCGAGCTTCGTGGATCTCAGGGCTCTTGGCGGCTCTGGGCCTCCAGGGAGGCCTCTCGCCGCCACGGCCGGGGTTCCCTCGGGCTTCTGGCCAGAACGCACCTCTGCACTGGTCGCCGCGAGCGCGACGATGGGTGCAGGCCTGCTCCTGACACCCGTGCGCCCCGCCAGCGGTCGCGCCGGCGCCCTGCCCGCGCCACCCGGTTGGCTCGCCCGCCAGGTCGGCGGTTGCCGCCTGGGTGGCGTCGCGCCCCGCGGCGGAGCGAAGCCGCCGAACGGTGGCACGGTGCAGCGCCGCGCCCAGCTCGGCCTCCCAGCGCTGCGCCGGCGTGCTGGCAGCCGCCTCCGCGGCGTGGCCGCTCGTTTGGAGGAGGACTCTTTAGGCCGTCAGGCGTCGCAAAGGTTCGCTGCGGCTGTGGTGTCCGTGATGCCCGCGGCCTCCCCGGACCCCCGGCGTCACGATCTTGTGGCAGCGTGGACTCCTGGGGGTCTCGACCCGTTCTCCGGGAGCGGATCCTCATCCCGACCCGCTTTTTGACGGCCCCACGGCCCCGCGAGGGAGGGCCTCCTGGGGGCCAAACATGGGAGCAAGAAGCCGTCCGTCGTGCTTAGGGCAGAAAGGCACACGTGCCGTGGTTAAAACTTCTTGTCACGACGCGAGCTCGTCTGGGTCCTGTAGCCGCCCCCAAGCCCGGGCGCCGTCGGACATATACCCGCAGCGGAACACTGGCCCTCTTGGGCCGAGAGGCCAGACGAGCACCTCTTGATCCAGGCGTCGCAGTGAGACTCGCGGCTGCCGTCTTTTTGACATCTTCGGCCTCTGGTGGGCGCCATCCGAAAACCACTCCCCTAATCCTTGAACTCTTGTCGCGACCGACGAGATCGGTCGCTACCGATTTCGCCTCAAATCCCGGTATCGGCCGCGACCGATTTTGGAATCGGCCGCGATCTGCCGCGACCGATTTGGAGTGCCGATCAGTTGCTATCGATCGCGGCCGAAAGCATTCGTGGGGACCGGTGTCCGGCCCCAGGGCCTTCACAAGAGGACTCGGGGTGAGGAAGCCGCGTCGCGATAAAATGGCGACGCCCGAGGAGGCAGAGGGCAGCACGGCGGGCGAGGAGAGAGGGGCCGCGATGACGGCAGGGAGCTTCCTGGTGCGCCCAGGGCGCAGGAGCGCTCCCAGGCGCCTCTGTGCCCCCTCCCCACGCTGCTCAGCGCGGTTGTGGTTGCGGATCTGCTTCGCGATCCCTTTGCACTCTGCTCGTGATTGGAACGGCACGCGCGCGAGCTAGCAGGCACAGCACCGAACCATGTGGCGGCTGCTGCGGGGAAGCTGAGAAGCAAGTCCCCGCACCGCTCAGCGCGGGCCTCAGAACTTCGCAGGCGCGCCGCTAGGGCCCGCGTGCTCGCTGGGCCCCCCTGCTCGGAGTGCACGATCTATGCACCTACATCGGCCCAGAATCTATGTATCTGCCTCCTGCCGACGCCGGGAGGCGTAGACGCCGATCCCCCGGCCGAGCCTGGCCAGGATCGGTGCAGGCGTCGCATATTTGGCGCCCTCCCACCTGTGGTGGGCACCAGTGACGACGGCTGCACGCCGGGCAGCACTCAAGGCGGGCGCGATCTCGCTCAGGTCCAGGGACGGGGCCCGGCCAGTGTCGGGACCTCGCAAAGGGGGGGGGTGCCACAGGGGGGGTGAGTTCGGTCCGTTGGCGCATCGAACCGCAGAACAAGGAGGCAAAACGAGGTCTCCGGCCGACGCCGGAACCCGAGAGGCGGCGACAATCGGGGCGCGCGGGGGGCATCGTTTTTCGGAAATTCGATGTGCCAGCGGATCGAACTCGCCCCCCCCCCCCCCCCCTCAGGGTCGCCCCCCCTTTGGTGGGCCCCGGCCAGCAGTTGGACCCTCAGAGGCGCAGCGGGGTGGAGGCAGCTGCGCGCCTGGCTGTGCCCAATGGGGCCCATCGCTGGCCCATCGCTCATTTGGGGCAGGAGGCCGCCTGCCCAACAGCGGCTGCCGTCGGTGTTGGGTTTTGGACTGCATTTGTTTCTGGGCACCGTGCCCAGCCTTAAGTCGGGCCTGCCCCCCTACAGGGGGATTTTCGACGAAAAATTCGCCGGCCCAACGGGCCAGAGGCGTGCTGTGATCTCCGGTAACTGGGTAACAATATTCTAGTTCGCGCGCGCGGGGCGGCCCCTAGGAGTCCCCGGGCGAAAAGTACCCCGGCAGGTCCCCGGGAGGGTGGGGGTCAGAGATGCCGGACCGGGCAATTTTTCGACACCCCTCACGAGGATCGTGGCCTCCGAGGGGGGAGCCGCAATCGATTACCCCCCCTCCCGCCCCAAGAGGCCCCCAAGAGCCCCCCAAGAGGCCCTGGGGTCCCCTCAGACGCCGCCAAGGAGCCCCAAGAGACTCCCAAGAGGTCCCCAAGAGGCCCTAAAGAGGGCTCCAGGGCCGGCGGAATGAGCGAAGCGATGAAATAAAAGATAACCCCAAAATAGTCATAAAATAATCACAAAATAGTCAGGGGACTATTTTTTGAGATTGTTTTGACCTTTTTGGGGTATTTTGGGGGTATTCCTTATTTTTCGTCGAACATTCCCCCTGTAGGGGGACAGGCCCGACTTCAGCCCAGCCTGTCCGTGCCCATGTCGGGTGCCCCAGACATCTGCGGCGTGGCCGCCCCTCCGAGACGCGAGGGCGTGGCCGAGCCCGCCGCGTGCGCGCGGCCCGCTGGTGCTGCGCCGCGGGCGCTCGAGCGCGGCGCAGCTCGGAGGAGGGCCGCCGGAGAGGCTGGTGCCGTCGGGCCGAGGCGTGCCATCGTAGGGGGCCGGAGGCGAGCCCTACCCCTAGCCCCCGCGAGTTCTGAGGGGGAGGGGAGGGGTTCCCTCCGTGCGCGAGCTCCCGAGCGAAGGGAGCCCCACCCTCCCCCTCAGAATTCTTCACGCTTCGCGTATCCCCACCAGCCCATCTCAAAATAGCAACTCTTGCGAAGCATGCCGACAGTCGTGTTTTTCAGGCGTATTTCCGCCTGCCCCCGCATATCTCCCCTGTTCCTCCTTCCTCCCGCCTCCTTGTACATCCTCCTTGTGGTGGGAGCGGGAGAAGGACGAGGCGGAGGAGGAGGGAGAGAAAGCGCTCCTCGTGGTTTGAGTCGTTTGGGGTTTCTCGTCCTGGTGTGAGTCGTTCGGGCCCTTCTTCCTGGTGTGAGTCGTTCGGGCTCTTCGTGGTGTGAGTCGTTCGGGCTCTTCGTCCTGGTGTGAGTCGTTCGGGCTTCTCGTGGTGTGAGTTGTTCGGGCCCCTCGTCCTGGTGTGAGTCGTTCGGGCCCCTCCTCCTGGTGTGACTCGTTCGGGCTCCTCGTGGTGTGAGTCGTTCGGGGCCCTCGTCGTGGTGTGAGTCGTTCGGGCTCCTCGTGGTGTGAGTCGTTCGGGCGCCTCGTCCTGGTGTGAGTCGTTCGGGCCCCTCCTTCTGGTGTGAGTCGTTCGGGCTCTTCGTGGTGTGAGTCGTTCGGGCCCCTCGTCCTGGTGTGAGTCGTTCGGGCTCCTCGTGCGTGAGGCGTTCGGGCACCTCGTCCTGGTGCAAGTCGTTCGGGCCCCTCGTAGTAGTAGTAGTAGTAGTAGTAGTAGTAGTAGTAGTAGTAGTAGTAGTAGTAGTAGTAGTAGTAGTAGTAGTAGTAGTAGTAGTAGTAGTAGTAGTAGTAGTAGTAGTAGTAGTAGTAGTAGTAGTAGTAGTAGTAGTAGTAGTAGTAGTAGTAGTAGTAGTAGTAGTAGTAGTAGTAGTAGTAGTAGTAGTAGTAGTAGTAGTAGTAGTAGTAGTAGTAGTAGTAGTAGTAGTAGTAGTAGTAGTAGTAGTAGTAGTAGTAGTAGTAGTAGTAGTAGTAGTAGTAGTAGTAGTAAGTAGTAGTAGTAGTAGTAGTAGTAGTAGTAGTAGTAGTAGTAGTAGTAGTAGTAGTAGTAGTAGTAGTAGTAGTAGTAGTAGTAGTAGTAGTAGTAGTAGTAGTAGTAGTAGTAGTAGTAGTAGTAGTAGTAGTAGTAGTAGTAGTAGTAGTAGTAGTAGTAGTAGTAGTAGTAGTAGTAGTACAACCCTCGTCAACAATAAACTGAGGGATTTTGGTTTCGGTGATTGCATTGTCGGCGCTACTCCAATGCTGACGCTAGATATCTGACGTGGACGCAAGGGCTTCAAAAATCCGACGACCCCTCCGCAGCATTGAAGAACGCAGTTTCTTTCAAGTGCCCGAGAAGATCGATCGTCGTGATTGCCAACTGCGTTTCTGTTTTTTTTTTGACGAGGCTTGGCCGCTTTAAAAATCAGTGTTGGCCCCAAACACTAGGTTCTTGTATTATCTTGGCACCATCTGTGCGGTGCAATGTACATCGCGCTAAACTGCCGCGCGCGGCACCCAAGAAACTCGAGCACGGCGGCCGCGGAAGACGCGCGGGGCCGTCGGCGGCGGCGCGGCCGACGGCGGGGGGGAGGCACCGATCTAGTTGGTCCCACCAGGGAGATATACTTCTGGACCCCCCCGCGGCAACCTGGCAGCCGCCCCTGGACCCCCCCGCGGCAACCTGGGGGCCGCCCACTCGGCATGCGCTTTGATACAGCGCGGCGAACACCGTAGTCACTTCGACTTATTATTTGTACAACAACTACCC